TCTCCTCAGTGGCACAGGGAGCTCTCTAGGAGGGGAGCTCATACCTGTCACTAGTGCCGTTCTGTGGCACGTGTGAGGGGTGCTTGCACCCATGCACACTTTCCTCCTGCCTGGCTAAATTTTATATGTTAAGGAATGCATCATGAATTTCAAAAAGAAAAGGAAGCAAAAGTAACAAAATGTCTCATACAAATGTATATCGGTACTGTTGTAAAGATGTTAAAATATCTATCAGAATTTTTTCTCTAATAGACTTCCAAGTTGTTCTTGCTTTAGCATGATGAGAATCTCTGACAGGGATCCTAAAGATCAGAAAACGCTCTCTTGTGTGGGTGCTGTCTTTAAAGAAATCAGTGCAGTTAACGCTTTAGTGAACAGTGTTTTATAATCCATGTTATAATACTGTCTTTGCTGTGTGACTGACATGCCAGAATTGGCCTTTTAAAATTTATTTTGTTTCATTCCAAATTAAATATTCAGTGCGATGGGACTCCTGCAGGATGGAAAATGGAGAATGGGCAGGAGGGTACAGTTTGCTTCAGTCCAAATTTTCCATTAATTTCTCTAAGGCCAGGGATTTCATCAAGCTTTGTAGCCCAGTAGCATCATTTGAACTGGAGGAAGGTTGGTTTCTGTCAGTTTCTTTGATGTAGTCTCAGCTGCCAGTTAAGATGTTTGCCAGCTCTATGAAATGAATGAAAATGTTTGAGGAAATTGGTTACAAAAGAAGTCAGTGAACCCTAAAATAAATTAGTATCTTAGCTACAAATTCACATTTAATAGCTTCATTTGAAAGGCCTTTTGTGCAGTAAAAGATAAGCTTCTGGCTTTGTGTGGTGTCCTTGCTCATATAGGCCATAAATAAACTGGTTTTAACTACATATTCATTGACTGAAAGGATATTCAGAAAAGGGTCGTGCAGCTTTGTGTAATCCTATCAACAAAACCGAAAAACATCAGAAGAGAGAGTTGTTCAGAGCCAGATTCTGCTCTATGAACATCAGATATCCAGTATGTGACGGTAGCCTTTGGAAGCCCTTAGTTTCCATTGGGGCTGTGAGAGGAGTAAGGGGGTCATTGGCCTTGGAGAAGGGCTTACAGGTTGGCTTTGTGCTGCTTATGAGTTAGCATTTAAACTGTATAGATTCTTACTTTTGAGTGTTTCTTATAAGTCTGATCCTATTAGAGTCAATGGTGAATGCTTTTTCCATGCTTGAAAATTTGACAACGTAGCAAGTTTAGGAAGGACTTGTAGGTTTAAAAATCTGAGACTTTGAAGATGGTTTCTACCAAATTTTATTTCATGAAGTTGGTCTCTTTTTCACCAAATAGGATGCTTTCGAGCTGCTTTTGCTCCTGGTTGTGCTCAGAGAGTAGCTCTCAACTCTTGTGCAATGAGATCCTTGGGTACAGTATAGAAGACATAAGGCTAAATTGGGCCCCTGCTTCTGAACCAGGCTTCCTGGAAATCCCTTGCTGAGCGCTGGGTTAGTTGGTTTGTTCCTTATCCTTGCAGTGCAGGTGTGATTTCCTTAGGATGTGCAGACAGGGCCTGCAAGCTGCTGTGCAGGTGCCGTGTGGGGCTGCGGAGGAGCTGGAGCGAGTCCTGGCCAGGCTGCTCAGCTGTCGGGGCTCTTCCCTCTTTCTGGCCCTGCTCCAGAGCAGGCTGAAGCCAATGGAAAGGTTCAAATGGCAGCCGTCGGCATCAGGAGCGCGTGGCGGGTGCACCACGAGCAGCGGGGGGAAGCTGGCCTTGAACTCAAACTCATGCTTGAGGGTCTTGTAAGAATAGTTTCTCACTCAGATAGCTACTACTTAAATAATTTTTTTCCTATGTTGCAATGCTAGTAATGCATATTTAAGCCTGAAATAGCCGAATCAGTATGTGTCACTCATTTGTATTACAGCTATTTAAATCTCAGAGGCTGTCTACTTTTCAGCAATGCTACTATTTTATGTTTGTTTTCTGTTTTAAAAATCTTGGTCTGCTTCTAGCCAATACAATTAAAATAGCTAATTCATTTCCATTATAACGTGTGGTGAGTTTACCTTACTGGTGTCTCACCTCCCTCACTTCCATGTTGTTTCCGAGGAACCATACTTGTTAGTCTGAAACATAATATCCCAGAGCAGTTGGAAATATCTCTTCCCTGAATACATGCACAGACCAAGCCTGAAACGCCCATGCTTACATGTAGCTATAAATGTTCAAGTGACCTATGCGTTTGTACATCTGAGAATTTTTGAATGGAAAAAACAGATAGAACTACTTCAGAGGAGAACACCGTATTCTAGAATACGGTGTTCTGTGTTCTGTTATATGCAGCCTTTAGGCTTATATACATAATATTATGTACATGGCTGTTTGCTATTTAGGTAGCCTTGGAGTGTCTGATGTCAACTACTTCCCCTAAATAAAATACTTTAGGACATGTAACACCTGGTTTGGAGCCAACTGGCTTTGGTTTGCTTCCTCTCCAAATGCTTTCATTCACAAACGGGCAAATGACTGCTTTTAAACTACAGCACAAACGCACTATTTGTAAAACTTGGGCATATTTTTTAATAAACCACAGTGACAGTTCAGTCCAGTTCCCAATACTGTCAGTGCAAAGATGGCTTTTGACCTAAGTGGGAGCTCAACTAGGGTGACCCTCTGTAGCCAGTGGTGTGATGGGGAGTCCTGCTTGATTTTGTCCAGTGCCCTGGTCCCACTGGGAAGGCACCCCCAGAGCCTGGGCACATCCCACTGGGTCGGCTTCAGGGCTGGGCATGCGCAGTCCCTGCAGGGCAGCGGCCTCCAAGGAATCCAAGCCTGTAATGAAATAGTTCATATTCCATGACCCCATCTTGCAGGGAGAGCAGGATTCACCGAACTGTAGGAGCTGAAAGTTCTGGCAAAGTACCTGGAATAAAGAATAACCTGAAGAAGAGAGATATTGGAATCTAAAATCTTTGAGGAATTAAGACTATATTTATAATTAAGAATAAGCATCTGAGAAGGCACAGTCTGATTTCCCCACAGCGTAAAGCTGTCTGCCGAGAGGATAATATATGGCTAAGTGGCAGGAATGGAAGTGTCCCCTGGCTAGAAAGGAGCCCGCCCTCTCACTGCAGGGTATGTGTACAGTCATAAGCAGAGTATTCCCTGGTGCAGTTCACTCTTTGGTCCTCCCAGAAGCAGATCATAGGATTGAGATTCTGCCTCTAATCAGAACTGGCCTCTCAACAAAGTGCCTGTGAAGACAGGGGCCAGTTTTTAAGTACTGAGCCCTTGCCTTGACATTGCAAATGGGTACTCTGCTTGTCTGAGCAGACAGCTTGGAGCTGTTCTTACTGCCTGCCATATATCTTCTTGATGCAAATTTTTGTGCTTGTTGCCTTATATTTTTACCCTACTTTTTTTACCTCCGTTGCATTAAGCCTGCTTTTATTTCCTGCTGTGTAGGGTCAGAAGCCCCTGCATTACATTTTGTGACCTGGTGACTCTCCCACACTGTGTGGCCCTCTGTATTCTAATAAAGTATTGTGATATTAGGTACCTACCACAGGATGTTAGTGAGTAGTCCAAAAGCCCCATGTCTGAAAGGGCTTCTTCTTAAAAAAAACCTTGCCTCCAAAATTTGTCTAACTTCTGATTGCCCTTTTTTATTTCACTCATTATCTCTTAGAATTACTTGAAGGTTGTTAGGACTAGCAGCAAGGGCTAATAATCCCTCAGGGTAGGGAAGCATGGGAGGTTGAATTTAAGGCTTTTGGTTAATGTCTGTTCATCTGTTTATACTGCCTTAAAAACAGAGGCATGTTAAATTTGCAAATCAGTGCAAACATGAGTTTTTTAAAAGAACAGATTATTTATCTTTTCTTAAATGACGTTAGATGAATTTTCTGTAATGCACTGTAAGAATTACTTCATTTGGGAGAGCTGATGTAAAGAATAGGCTCAAAGTTTCGTGATGAACTTGCACAAGTTAGCTTTCATTTCTCATGTTTCTCACCTGACAGATGTCATGAAATTTTAAAGGCTTTAAACATGTGTGCCGTGAATGCTTTTAGTATGGAAATGTTCAATTATAGTCCAGGCTTGTTTCAGCACTTAGCATGGTCACCTTGAGATGGGGTCTTATATCGCTCTTTCAGTGTTTAAAACCTCAGGTCTGCACCAGAGCACAGCTGACAGTGAGATGGTTTCCTGAGGGAGGGATGTTCTTCCTGAGTGGCTAAATTGCACTTTCTTTCCAGGACTGTTAAGCGTTGTCAACAGTCCTGAATTTCAAATGTGTTGAGGGTGGGAGGGAGAAGGTGGAACTCTTAAACTCATGTGGTTGACCTCTATCTAGTGTCGTGGTAGGTATTTTATTTGGAATTAAGATAGTGACATAGAGACTTCAGATTTACATACATATTACAATTATCCCTTAAATAACTAGTACCAGTATAGTATATTGAGAATTAGGCATATATTTAGAATTAAATAAGTATCTACTGATGCTTAAAAATGAAATAAGCAGTGCCTCCCTTCAGCCTGAGGTGTGCCCTGGAGAGATGCTGCTGCTTGTTATCTTTCCTTGTTCATTGGTTATTCTGTGCACTCCTACCCTATGGAATCAGGTGCCTATCTACCTATATACCACCTATATACTGTCCTGGTGGGAGGCGCCTTTTGGATCAAGGACACTCAGTGAGTGTGTTTGGGTGTGAGGAGTTAAGAGCAGACCGCTGTCTCTGGAGCTAGAGCACTGGTGAATGACAAGCTTTTATTCTTTACAGAAGTAGTCAATAGAAGAAGTAGTATACATGCTATGTTATTTTCTCATTCCCCAAAAATATAGGATGTCAATTGCACTAAGATAATTGTAGAGGAGCATATTTAAAGCATATCTTGCCATTTATTTTCGTACAAACTCTTGTGATAAATGTAATGAAATGAGAGCATTTAAACTAAGTAAAATCTTCATCTGACCAATTCTCTCTTCTCTTTATTTTTCCTTTTTTAACAGGGTGGAAAGAAGTCTTACAATGGGCCTTGTGGGGGCCGAGATTGCAGTGCTGGATGCAAATGTTTTCCAGAGAAGGGGGCGCGGGTAAGTTGGCTTGCATTAATACAACCGGTCCTTGTGTATCTTATCTTTTTTATTATAATTATTAAGAAAAAAAGGAAAAAGAAAAATAAATGAATATATGCAAATATCAATCTAATCTTTGCATGAAGCAAGTGAAATTATGAGGACCAGCTGCACTGCCAATGTCCCTGGCCAGGATCTCAAAACCTATTCTGAAGGTTTGCAAATGACTAGCTTTGCAACAAGAATCTCTTTTCTTTATGTGGTGTAAACCTTGGTTCAAAAAGTCAGATGGTCGAAGTTTTACAGGTTTTCTAGCCCATGCTGTAATGACTTCTTTTTTTTGTGGAAGTGTTTTTGACTTTGGTATTTGTTTTTGAAGAAACAATAATGTTGAATATAACTGAGCATTTGCCTTTGAGAAAGGCTTTTATTTAGCTAAACCCCCTCTCTCTGAAGTCTGGGCTTGAAGGGATCAATGTGTAAGAATAAATTCTGTAAAATTGCCTGATTTCTTTAAATGATACCTAATTTCTTTAAATGATGTGAAAGAGTTATGAACTTGATCTGAATGCAACAGGACACTTCCTATCTTAAAGTTATGCAAAGCTGCTGACCTCATCTTCCCTTCAATTAGACTATTAGCTTTTGTCCAGATACTGTCAGCTTAATACAGATGTTTTTGTAAATATTTTAGCATGTATCAAAATGAATCTGATACATCTTGATGAAGGAAATGGAGAGGAAAAACCTGCATTATAGGTACTTCGAAATTTAATTTGGAAGGTCTTACAACACCTGAAATTAATACTAGTTGTCTTTGTTAATGATGATAAAACAGTTATTTTAGCTGAAATCACATTAATAGGCATTCAATTTGTGATGCATAAAAAAAAATGAGGAAGTGATTGAGAAAGAAGTTAAATTTAACTTAAACATTATTAATCCTATTTTTTCCAGGTATATTTGAGCAATGCAATGTGGTTATATTCAAAACATCACTCAGATGATCATGACTGCATTTATTTCTAGGATTCAACACAGGAAAATGTTGCTATTTAAAAATGGTCTTAAGCATGTATTTAAATGCTTTCCTAATTGCAGACAGACTTGAACATGAATTCTTAATTGATAACTGATGATGTGTTTGCTCTGGAAGTATATAAATTCTTTTAAACCATGTGGCGGGGTGAAAACATGTCTAAACAGATGAGTGGAGGACTTTTGAAGGTGAATTCTCAACATAAGCTAAAATGAGAGAAAGCCAATTGCTCAACACCTTACGTGATCGGATACGGTGAGGCGAGACTTGGACTGGAATATCCCGTAAACGCTTTGACCTTAGCTAGCAGTGAGCATCATCCTTCTGTCTCTTTACATTCCCAGGGTTCAACTTGATTGTTTGAACTGGCCGCAACACTGTTGACCTTGTGGTTTGAGCTCTTGGCATCTCTTTTGTTAAGATGTCACAAAGATTTTAGGCTGTTTTTATTGCTGACCTGAGAACTCATTTGGCTTTTAGCTTGTTTCTTATGTGACCTGTATTGATAGGCATTTTCAGTACTTTAAACGTGTGTTTCATCCCACTGTGACCTGTCCATGGAGGAAACTTCCTTGCAAGCAGTGGTAATCAGACCTCTTTACATCACTGCTTCTATCAAGCCATACAGAGTCCTGCTGACATCTTCTTGGACATCTACAGACAGCTCCTGGAGTCCTGCCACAGCAGAGGATGGGGAGGTGACTGGCAAAACTGGGCAAGAGGATGGTGTGATTATCTGTCCTACAGCACAGCTTGTTTCTTGCGGGAGACTGTTTAGCCTGAGGCTAATTCCTTGGCTTCCTGCCTAGGTTCTCCTCCATTGCTGCTTCAAGTTCAGAACAGGCAAATGGCAGATGAGACTGCCAACGTCCTAGATTCCTATTGCACAAATAACTAGTTCAGAGTAAATCTAAGCTTTTTCTTTTAAAAAGAAAAAAAAATATGATCTTTAGACAAAATGTCAGAAGTGCTAGTCCCACACAAGAGCAAATTTCATTTCTGCTAGTTGTCCCTGTGGCTTGCACTGACTCTGGAAAGCCATAATGCTAGCTGACATTCATTCAGCTAGCTGACATTCAGGGAAGTAAAAAACTAATTGGGGATGCATCCTTCAACTTAGCCAGTGATTTGAAATCAGTCATAGTACCTAAGGATAAGTTAATGAAGAACCTGCCCCTATGTAGTGGAATAGCACAAGTCCTGCTCCAGATTGCAACCTTTCTCACCTCTTTTTCGGTTGTTTTCTGATGCACATTATTAGTATCAGCCCAGTGATGTACAAAAGCTCAATTTCTGGTAGAGTAGTGTTATCTTCACTGAAAGGTCCCAGCTGAGACCTTTTCTGCAAATTCTCTCACAGGTCAAATGAAAAGATTAAACTGAGTTTGTGGCCCTTAGTCTTTATCCTCTTAAAGGGAGGATCTAGTTTTAAATCCCCTTAGTATGTGCACTGGAAGCAGAGAGTGAGAAGCTAACACGTCACATGACAAGAGTAAATGTTATGCCAGCAGAAGCCCCCAAGCTGATTTGACTGGTTATAAGGCTAGGAATTTTGGATAGGCTTGTTGCAATTCTTCCAAGCTGCATTGTCAGAATCTTTGCTAACTTTGGTGTAAAATCTCACGTAATGCTGTGGAAGGAAAATACCACTTGGCATTTGTCATCTTTCCTTTCTTCCTTAATACACAGAGAATGTGAAAGCCTCCACTGCAGCTGGATTATCCAGATCCAGTTTGAAGCTTTTGAATCTCTGTCACTAGTCCCACACTTTCTACTACCTGAGATGCCACCTATTGAACCAGAACACCAATGCAGTTTAAAAAGGAAGGCTGCTCTGACAGTGAAGGTCCCTAAATGTACCCTGGTGTATTCCCCTTCTGGTGAAGGTAGGCAATCTGAGCACAACTTATATTAGTAAAATCTATTTCTGCACATGGTTTTACAGGCATTCCTCCTCTTTTAGGACATCTGGTGGGTAGAAAAAGCAGTTACATTAAAATGTAATGCAGGAGAAGGAAGTTGGAAAAAGCAGTTGTATTAAATTATAATGTAAGCAAGGAAGTGAATATCAATCTGATGCTAGCCTGTATCCATTGGAAGGCTGGATTTCTAACATATTTCCAGTTATTTAGGTGAGTAATCTATAGGTAGAACACTTTTGGAATTGTCAGGAGACAATACTGTGTCTTAACCGTTTTCCCTCTCCTTTCTGACTCTGATCCACAGTTTATGAACCAGGATAATGTCCTTTGAAAATTGCTTGGCTGTGTTGCTAGGAAATGCACTATGAATAGGTCAGCAGTAACCATGAGGACATTTTTCCGTGCTTATAGTGTTTTGAGAAGCACTAAAGCTAAAAGGAAGCCTGCTGCATTTTATCCCTATAGTTCATTTTGCATCAACTTATAGTAGTGCTGGCTTTCTTGTTTTCATATGCTGTCATCTACTTTCAAACACTTGAAAGGATAAACTAACAGCCACAGTGTTCATTGCCTTATACCTTCTTCCAATGCTTGTTCACTTATCTTGGATGTTATAACAATATTAAGCTTTGTTTTAAACTTTATTTAACACGTACTGAAGCTCTCTAGCTGAGTTTGTGTCTCAGTCATCAGTTTTTCTCTCTGCCTTCTTTTTGAAGGAGGGAAAAGAAACCCTCTTGAGTACTTTTTTCTGAAGATCCCCAGATTAATCAACAGCAACTGAGTCCCAGGCAGCTTTTACAGTTTAGGATTGCTGGAAAAGCTTAGTATTACTTAGTATTGTATTTCATTCTTCCTGTGATCCTTATCATTTTCCTTTATGTATCTCTCATGAATCACGTGCTGTCTGAAACCCTTAAACTAGGTTAAATTCAAACCTGATAAAATAATTTGAAGTTACTTATCTAAGTATATGAACTTCTAACTATGAGAACTGTTAATGATATATAAAAACCTCTCTACCTCTTTCCTGACTCAGGAAGAAAAAAAGCACAGGGAAGGTAATTCTTCATCAGCAACTGGTATGGTTCAAAAGGAGTGTGGCTGTACAATGAGGCACTTGTTACCGAGGCTGTAAGGCTGTGTATCTATATGTAAATCTATACTAAATCTAGATGAGCTCTTTGAAGCGAAGGCCCACTGGAGTACATTAGGTGTGCCTTGGAGCTTGTTTCCTGACCTAGTCTCATCAAAGGGGAAATCCAGGTCGTGTGCTCAAAGGCTCCTCTGCAATGTGAAGCAAAGCATGGTAAGTAGGAAGGACTAAGATTGAGAGATTTGCCTAAAATATGCACTCCTGGTCTGAGTTCAAGGCTTGCGTACATGCACCCAGCCATATATGAGATTGCACAAGTTTTCTCTGAAGTGAACTTTTACTATATGTATTACTATTGTTATCTGCGAATAATTAGGGAGGTTTTAGTGGAATTGCTGCAGGTTAAAGAGACATGAAATCTAGACAGGTCCGCAGCATCCCTGCAGTGAGCAGCATAACCTGAGGTTGTGCTTTGGATGATTTAATCTAATTCTTATCTAGCATGAACTGATGTACTGGCAAGAGATCTTGGATTAATGTTTGTCTGGAACTAATCCCCTCAACTTAATACAGGGTGCTCAAAGTGCCTCCTTTGTGATAATTAGTTGAAGATTGGTTGACATTTCTTGTTATAAAATTGTAATAATTACAAGTTGGATTTTAAAAGTGTTTTTTGAATCCCATTTTGGCTCATTAAACACTGACTTGTGCAGTTTAGGGATTTCCTGATGAAATACGATTTCCTTGGAAGCATATACTCTTCCGAAGTGTTATTTTTTTGTTTGTTTGTTTTATTTTTTGAAAGAAGTATTTTGCACAAATGCATTTGTTGGCAATAGGCTTTTGTTAAGTCAACTTCTTTTGGTTTGACTCCCTACTATCCTGCATGGCCAGCAGTGTAGGGGACTATTGTGATTTGAACAATGCTTTTATGATACCAGTGGTCTCCAAGTTGACCTGA